ATTAATGGAGTCGTCCTTTTAATCGTCTTAACTTTTCATTTTCTAAGGATGCTTCAATATGTTGAGGGCGATCTCTAAAACTCCAAGAAGTTTGATCAACCTAGACAAATTGTGAAAACATTAGTTGTGTAATTGTCCACTGTATCATGACTAATTTATAATGATTGATTACAACTCCAGCATTGTCCTCTGAATTGCAAGGGAGGATAATCTTACAAGATGTATCTAAATCCTTTACGATTGGATGAACAATTTTATTAGCCATTGTTTTGAATATTTTGTTCCAATGAAGGTATTCTTAAGGGTAAACTTTATGTACTTATTTGGCATACGTTTACATTAATATATCTTTAAATGCTTATAGTTGTGTTGTAACTGCATCAAACAAGCTTTCGTAATATTAGCGCTATGTTTTTCATTTTGATTCACACCTTGCACCTCCAAATGATGATGCATGTAATCCACAATTGAAAATATAAAATGTTGGGCACGGCTATGCCATTCTAGTATATCTATAAAGGAGAATCAAGACAAGGTGATGTGGCACATCTCTATGGCCTCCATTCTTATTTATATTTTTTCTCCTTTTTTTGTCCTTTTTTCTTCATTTTTTCATTAAATAATAATAATTTGCTTATTAATTAAAAAATTCAATCATATTTACTATTGTAATTATATGTAATGAGTTGTAAAAAACCTTCATCCTTTCACATTCTCTATTTAAATAACATGTCTTTTCAATTCCTTTCTAACAATTTTTATGGATTACCAAATCTATAAATACCAATCATCTATGAAGATGTTGAATGTTCATTCTGATTTTTCTCATTCTTTGTTTTTATTAGTATTGGTTTTTTTCTTCTTTTAAAATTTCTTTTTTTTCATCTTTTTATTCATTAATCATGTATTTAATATTCAAATAAGAAGACATAGAAAAGATAATATCATGATATGTCATTTACTTTGATTAAGATCATAGATATATTTTTCAATGATTCATCACAGAGGCAAAGAGATGTTCACATTATTTGGTACAAGTTCAACAAAATGAAGAAGGAAGCTTGATTATCTTGGAAGATTCATGAAGAGAGATTGTCATAGTAGTATAAAAGTTTGAATGATTTTCAAACATTTTGAAAATTCATTATTGTATTATTTTGATTTCAATTAATATTATTCTACCCTCTTTTATTTTGTTTCTTCGTCTTGAACAAAAATATTTGATAAAAAGACATGATTTCCTTTTATTCACCATACAAGAGTAATATGAAACTCTAATAATTAACCAACTTAGTAAAAAGCTCAATTAACCAATTTTACTGAATTAACTTTGCTATTATTATTATTGTTGTTGTTGTTTAATATTTTAAAATTTTCACAAAAAGTAAAAAATATACAAAATGGTGTTATTTCACTAAAAAGGAACAAGAGAAAGCATGGTGAAATGCGATTTTTTTAATAAAAATTCTTTTTTCTTTTACATTTCTCTACATAATTAACTTAATAATAAATCAATAAAATGTTTCCTACTGTAAATTTAGACCATGTAGAAGAAATAAATTAAAATTACTTATGATCAATCTTGATTCCTCATAAATCTTTGGTACAAATTAAAATTCAGGTAACGATTCTGACTTAATCAATCCAAAATATTTTTTATTGTAATTTATTGTTTATCATATTTTAAATGTCTTTTGTTACCTTTTCATTTTCTCCTATTAAATAAATAAATGGAGAAAGTGATCCTGCAAACTTAATTATAACTTTGACCTTGTCATTTCTTAAAATTAATTTCCTTTCTTAAACTAAGAAATATCGCATAATTTATACTCTATCTTTTTATCTTCATAACTTATATTTCCACAATTTCTATAACTCCTCATAACCCCCAAATTTAAATGTATAAATTTATGATAACTTATTGTGTTTCTTAATGAATATATAAAAAAAGAAATACAGACAATGTGATGTGATACATTTCTATGATCTTGATTTGTATTTATCTTTTTTCTCTTTTTTGGCATTATTTCCAAATTTAAATAATTATTTTATTATAAAAGTAAAGTATTTAATTTGTTTCAAATAAATATTTTATTAATAAAAAAATATTTATAACAAAGACTCTTCACATACCAATTAAGTAATAAAAATTAAAAATTATTTGATCCATTAAATTAGAGATTTGCCAGTGTCTTATCTCTTTTCCTAAGCTCACATAGTGTAACAATTAATATCATTTGAAGTCCTATATTTATGTCTTTTATATTTGTCCTTTTCAACCACATTTGTTTTAATATTTTTACCTTCATAACTCATTTATTTAATTTTTACTCATAATAATATTTATGACTCTCATATTCTTTACCTTTTCATATTCATAATACTTAAATATTAAATGTAAAAGTTAAGATACTTTATGGCATTCCTCTATTTTTATCTATATAAATTTATATTTTTTGTTTCATGAATTTCTATCCAAAAAGTTCCCTTCATTTTTATTAAAGTATCATACTCATGCTTGTGTTTGACTCGAAAAAGAAGAAGAAAACTCTCAAATAGTGATAGACTTGTGAGGCTGATATCGACAAAAACTTAAACATTATGTATTGATTTAGTTTTTTCTTGTACTTTTTTAATTAATAAAATCGTAATGGTTTGTGTATTGTATATATTTTTATGCATCTCTGTGGTATATACCTTTTAAGTTTAATTTTTCTATGAACTTCGGATTGTTGTAACTCTATAATCTACTGGTATATATTTTTTACTTAAAAAATAGTATATTTATGTTATTTATTTTTAATTATAAATTGCAACAATGAATATTGTGTTCTTTCACTTCTAATCACATGTAATTTTCTTATGTTTTTTTCGCTATGGATACAAATTGTACCTTTGCACATTTATAAAAAGGTGTAATTATTTTATTTAATATATTTTTTATGTAAGGAGAAACAAAAAGGTGTAATCATTTTATTATATACCTTTTTTTTATGTAAAAAGAAACTCTTGAAATGTATTTAAATTTTTTAACTTAGATTCACATATATTAAATATATATTAGATACAAATATTATTATATATAAAATACCTCTTCTATTTATATTGTATTTAGTGAATTATTTGTGTTTTTTATGATAGCGCGAAGCGCGGATAAGTTCACTAGTTAATATTAATGTTAAAAAAATCAATTTAACACTAAGAATTACAATAATGTTGAATATTTATTTTTTAGCTTTACATTGATTTAGATAATTAAAATACATAACTTAATTTTATTTTTTCTTCAATGTTGAGTCATGTAATTGAACTTCTTAGACTTATTTTAGTATGATTTAGTACTTTTAAATTACGAACATTTTCATTATGACTTATTAATTTACATTATTAGTTTTATGAAGTTTCATTTAAATATTGAAATGTCATCACTTATCTCATATTTTGTGTTATTTTCTTAAGAAACACCTTAAATAATTGTATTTTGGTAGGACTAAAAAAGTATTTAGAGCACAAGTTAATTATATGTTGTGTGAATGCTTTATCGAAAAAAACCTGAAAAAAAATCAAAAACCCGAGAAACTAAAAAAAAAAATCCAAAAAAAAAAGTTGAGGTTGAAAACCCCCAAATTTTATTAATTTGTTTGATTCATATATTTAAAAATTTCGACACAATTAATTTGATTTGATAATTAAAAAATTCACACCAATTCCATTCATGTGCACCCTAAAGTTTTTTTTGGATAACGGGATATTTTTTTATAAATTGTTAAGCATTAGATACTACACCCTAATTAGAACTACAACGACCAAATTATTATTTATGTAATTTTTCCTATTAATTTATTATTAATAAACATACAAATCAAATCAAACTAATGAGTTTTTCAATTTGAGATATTTTTATGCTTTTAAGAGTTTGCTCTTTTATTTAAGATTATATCAATTGATCATATTCTTTTATCTAGGATTACATTATTAGTTTTCTCGCATAATTATGGTTAAGTGTGAAAATAGATACGTGAAAATAATTTATATAGTTTCCTTTTCAGATTTATGAAAGAGCTGTCATTTTCTTCTAAAATCATCCCATTTGAAAATTTTAATGATTTAAGGTAACAAAGATTTGTGAAATAACACATTACTAAAATGGGAAAACTAGATATGTCTTTAATTAGAGTGAAATTTAATTAATTTTGTGAGGTTAAAAGAAATCTAAGTAATTCACCTTAACTTCTTCTCTTTTCCTATTTCAAAATTTTAAAAAATCAGAGAGAAATTGATAAATAAATCAGCATCACTTGAAAAATAAAGAGAAGATCATTAATCTTATTGAACCATGTTTTTTGTTATAGATAGAGATCTTCAATGTAGTGTTATTTGCACATGTCATATTTTGTTCATATGAAGTGCCCCAATATTTTAGTTTCTCTATTTTAATTTAAGCCTCTTATAAATTTCCTTTTTTAATCTATTTAAAGAGAATATATATTATTTTTATTTAACAGAAAAGATCTAAAAATACTACTCATCAATCTTTTGATCTAAAACAACCCTTACACTTATTATTTTTTTTGTCTAAAAATACCCTTTTATTCACCCTTTTGGCTTCACTTATACCTTTGAAAATAACAACCATCTCTTTATTTTATTTTTTTAAAAAATGTATTATATGTCATTATGTTATTGAGTGAAATAAAAACTCCACGTGAACTAAATTTTTTACCATAGTTTATCCAAACGGAAAAGGTTCACTGGACAAAACAAGCCTGTGTGTTTCTTTTCTTATAGGAGTAATTTATAATTGTTCATACAAAGATTTTCTTAAATAGATAGCCAAGAGACAACAAATTAAAATAAGCTTTTTCAGAGCACCGCACTGCGATTGAATGGCGGATTTCAAGAGAAAAGATGCATCTATAGTTTGGAAAATTTGGAGAAAAGCAAGATGAAGAAGATTAGTAGGTCTAAGGTTGTGGTTTTTCTGTAATATAAGGGCCGGGCGAAACTATATCATCTCATCATTGTTTTGATCAATCCTCTCCTTGATTTCTAGGAGAAAGTGGAATATGTAACTCATCACATTCTGAGATTTCATTGGTATTACTTTGCTTAAGAGTCTCATCAAACACCTCTGTGCTGATAGTAGCAATGGTATGAATTTGATGTACCTCATCCTCCGCCATGGAGTCTAATGATGTGGTTGCTAACAATGTTTCTGGAGAAACAACAGAACCTTCTAATCTGGTTTTCACCTTGTGTCGCCATCCATGTAGTGAAGTCCTAACGTTCTCTGAAACGATGGTCTTCTTGTATCTCGAACCCATCTGCTTAAACATTAATTGATCACTAACTTGACATAAAATGTGTACAAGGATTATCAAGGACAAGAGAAAGAGATCACATTGTGTTTTTTAATTACCTGAGCAACAATAACATAGAGTGGAAATGTGACAAAGCTACACCAGAATTGAGAAACAACCCTGCAGCAACAAGTTACAAGGATCATGCTAAAATGAGTGTATTCAGCAACAAGTTAACAAGGAAGTGAGACACAAGATAGTTACCCAAATGACAAGCGAATCACGAGAAATGTGTAATTGTCTGTGAAACATGAAGATCCCTTAATTTCCCACTGCACCAAGAAAAGGAAATTAGTTGGCATCCCCATTTACATATGGAAAAAAATTGTATTCATGCAGTGACACGAATTTCTATGTTGCCTCGTCTAAGGATTAGGCATAAACATAAAACAGACACAAACTACATATGAAAGCATTGTCTGTTTAACTCTCTGTGTTGTCTAGCCCATAGTTTAATACTACTTTGCAGTTTGTTCTAAGAGTTGAAAAGTTCTATATATGTTCTTTAAAGTTGTACGAGTTCTGTTTCCAACCAAAACTAATTGCTTCTCCAGTTGAAAATTTTGGTCAAGTTATATTGTAGAGGCTCCCAACAAGGCAAAATAAATCAAGAGTGTCAAACAAGAAAAACACTAGGCAGAAGAATCTATGTCCCTCGCTTTGATCACACAAGGGCGCGGAGTAAATGGAGAGTATGTGAATAATTAATGTTTGAAACTTGCATCTACCGACTACAAAAGGGATACATTGGGTGAAGAATTTAATTCATTATAATTTACAGGAAAAGCAAAACCTCTATCTGAACACTAGGTTCTCAAGTTCTTACCAGTGACCATATGTATGTTGCCATCTCAAATGCATTCTGTATATGATTAAGAGAAGAGCAATCAGTAAAGCATATCCGAGGACACTATATTATTGAGCTAGAAAATTAGTTGTAATACTCTTCTTGTTACCATTTGGATTCGAGGATAAAAAAGATGTTATTGGTCATACCTGGAATGATACAAATTGTATTATCCGCAGCAGAAACCTAGGCTTCCCAAACCAGAAGAGCTCATCTCTTAGGTTAAACTGATGAAATCCTTCCAATGGACTACTGTCCATGCTTTCAACTGCCAGCTTGACCACCACGCGATGAAGCTTGGTACCAACCAAAAGGATCAACTTCCAATAACAATTTTTGACAAAGTCATAAATATGAGAATGAATAATTCTTCTGAAGCAAAATGAAAAAAGTAACAGAAAATAACAAGCACTCACAATAGCTGGAAAGAAGGAGATCCAAAAGTAGATATTTGTGCCTGGACAATGATCATTAAAATTATAGTGAAAAAAGCAATCCGAGGCAGAAATTCCAGATAATATCTAGTAGATAAAAGTTACCATGAAAGCTTAAAAATACACAAATTATGACGAAAATCCATAGTGGAACACTGCAACAAGAAAAAGAAAAGGAGCATCTTAGATGACTGGATCCATAGTGAAATTGTGCAATAAAGAAAAAATAATGGAACATCATATATGCCTTAACCATAGTATCTTACAGTTTGTGAGATATACAGCACAATATAAATGGACATAAACAACACATCATATATGCATAGAGATAGGGAAAGCTTTAACTGTTGATCATGACAGTCAGGAACAGAAAAAAATAGAATGAGTTATATGAATTCTCATAAATTCTTTTATAAGTACTTACGATAGTTCACGTGGAGCAGCTATTTTTATGCCATGAGATTGAAAAGATAACTAATTCTAGTTGAAGGGAAAGATAGGAAGGCCAAGTTATAGATTTAAAGCAAAAGGTTCTTGTTGGTGAAGATAAAACAGAGAAGTAGGAAGAGGCAATATTTTTACTCCCTCCAAGGAGGGTCAAGCAGTCAATCTTAACATCTTTACTGGTTTACCCAAACATGATAGCCGTAGCTATTTAGTGGAAACACGGAAAGATAATAAAAAAGAAAACATAAATTATGTAACCTCAGGACTAGCAATTCCATATATCTGTATGATTGCAGATATTTTATATGGAGTTGTTATTTCTCTGCCATCATGTAGGATGATTCATAATGTGGAAAACCTAGTACCAAATATTACATTGTGACACAATAGTTATGTTCAAAACAAAAACTTAACCTTCAAATAGATATGCCATTGTACCTTATGCCAACAATATCACGAAATTCTTCCTCCATGCTTCGAAGCATATACTTATGGAAATCATAAGTTAATGGCAGCTGATGAGTCTGCAAGAACACAAGAACAATATAAAGACATGGAATTGTCTTTCTGTCAAAGGGATACATATAGGTGTAAGCCGTGATATCGCAACCACAACAAATACATTTGGCAGTTTAGACCATTACTGGAAAGTCACAATTTAATTCTAGATAGTGAGCCCTTTGTTTCATGGATTAGTAAAAATGCTTCTATCAATAAAGAACTTAATCAGTGGAACTACATATAAGTACCTAAATTAGGGCCTACTTGGTATTTGTTATGTACTGATTCACATCATCTACATAAGTGAATGTTGTATTAAGTGGTTATTAGCTTAAAGAGTCATTTTCATAAAATAACCAAAATTCAAATATGATTGTTGAACTGATTTATACTGTTAAACTTAAGTGAAAATAATAAATGGGAGCAGCATGAAGTCCGCCATAGAAAGTCAGTCAGTCTTCACTTCCAATTTTAATGATGATTGAGTGAAATATTTGCATTTGTGGAGTATGACAGTACATGACTTACAGTAATAAAGCCCAAGCGCAAAGCCATGTAGTCAGCTTCATTTATAGAACTCCAGAACTGGCGGCTGAAACAAAGCTAAAAAGGGAATATTGAATTAAATATCTTGAATCACTGGACTCATTGCAGCACTTGTCAAGACTCAAGAGGTTGGGAAGATTAAAGCATGATGGTGAAATTTTCGTCAGACGTACATAATGATAAGAGAAAATTATTAAATTTGATTGATGCCAATACAAACACGACATGGGAATATGCTTTGATGCACTGGTTTACAATAATTCTATCTGAATACGTGAATTAAAGTAACAACAAATGCTAAGACCTAAACATAGTTCTACAGTATTATTAAGATTTGTGACTTGGACCTGAGTGAACAATGATTTGTTTGCATAGGCATAGAATTAGTAAATGACATTGCACATTAGTTTCACACTAAATCATAGTTTTAGTTGCAAAGCCACCTGAATTTGTTATTCTCTATTACTTTTTAGTTTTTCATCTTCTTATTGTGTACATGCTAACACTTTTCCATGCTGCACTTGTCCAGAACAAATATACACAGTTATCCAGAACCCTTTTCAATGACTGAGCCACCTCCAGTACCATTGGGCTATGATAACTCCCCTTAAATTGAGATAGAAGAAGCATTGCACATAACAAGGATTCACTCAACCAGATAAACAGGATTTGTCGTGAAAATACCAGCCAAACAAGAGCTCTGTGCTGGCTCCATGGATGAGTGGTTTGGTGAAAAGTAAAAGTTGATAGACGCCCCATTCTTGTCTTGTTTGGGACAGCTTCTTCAGAACCTAAGGTTAAACTTGCAAGTAAGTGTCCTGGAAATGACAAATAAAGTATGAAGAATAGTAGTGTGGCTGGAAATTTTAGCACCTTCAAGTCTTTGAAGAGCCATTGACTTGGCATAGTTCTCCCATGTTCTCCAACTATATATCTGCATGGTTAATTCATGTTTCTTGATGGATTTGGGAAGAAAGTTTTGAGATGTAATAAGAAGTTAATCATGAAGAAGATATCCAACCTTGATCATTGCCAGGGCAATGGCGAAAAAGCTATAAGATACATGGCTAACACCAAGGACAAGCAAAAGGCGATGGAGCTGCTCTAGGCTCTCCTTTGAAGCAAACGATTGGAGACCCTGGTAAAACCAATATTAATGTTCTCTGCTCATGTGAATCCATTATTAGCACTGGCCACTTTACTAAAGCCAACAACTAAAGCAATTTGAAACTTGCAAAGAGAATTAAATGAAGATGGGAAAATGTGAGAGAAATTCTTTTTTCCTTAATAAAGACAAGCTCACTTGTTGCCTGGCTAGGGAGTCCGGAGGAGTCTTTGTTAAAATGAGTCTTATTTTCAAGTTCAAGCCACGTTAAACTTCCAAAAAAAATTGCTTCTTAGCACGACCAATCTTCTAATTGATGAGTATTAGATGCAGTAATATCATGGAACTTCAGTGAACGAAAACATTTGACTATTAATTATGCTACATTTAGGATTTACATATAGAACAATCTCATGTGACAAATTTTAGCTTACAACAGTAGACTAGAGATTCCACGGTAACATTAGTTATTTTCAGTAGATGATAGCTCGTGAAGAATCAACCAAAATTTATTTATAGACATAATTTGGACCAAAAACTGTTAAAAGTAAATGTCAGATTAAATTTTGAGTAGAACATTCATTCCTGGGCTACCTCAGGACAATAATCTTCATGTCCACTGCTTAACAGTAGCCTTGATGTTGAGAAATTCGAGTATGAAGAACCTGATAATGCAAATCTCGTAATTGCTGACTGCGTCTTGGTTCTTGGCGGAGAACATGGATAAAAGTGGCTGCTCACGGCTGAAGTTTTGACACAAATCTTTGCAACATAAACGATCCAATGACCCATAAGCAGTGATAGCAGTCCAAAAACCATAAGCTCTGCTTGCAGCCAAAAAAGGAAATTCATTATTATGAAATTAAAAAAAACTGATCATAAAAGTGCAGATTATTAATAGGTTGGCTTACCTTCCTTGATTTTCTCTAATGCAGCATAAAGAGGTTCCCTCTTTGTCCTATGCAACCACTGTCAGAACAAAACACAGAAAGCAGAGAATTCAACATATTGAACAGAAAAGTTTCCACTTCCAAGAAAGATAGTCTTTTTTTTTCATACCTTTCCAAACTTCTTCAAACTTTCATGGATCAAGAAACCAATGCTCACCAGAACAGCTACGACTGTTGCCACGGCCCATGTGGGTGTTTCAGCAAAGGACGCTCCTTTGAAATTCCCCATCTTGACTAATAAGTATACAACAACCTTAAAAAAACTGCATAAAACTTATTTACATCATCTTCTTGAAACAGAAGAAAATGTGTTGCAGAAAGATGGAATTTTTTTTAAGTGCAAAAGCTTCAGCAATGACTTAGCATTAATATTCGTCAGCTGGATTTGGTTGACAACTTCATAATCATAGTCATGAACATTTAGTAACGCCATGGGGTGTTACAAAACAATGAAAACATAATGGTCCCATGTGAAATCTTTTGGCCATATGTTGTATAACCAATTGGCAATCTGACCATCCTTGTTCTGCTATAAATGCCCGCCACACCTATGTTGTAGTAGTTGCAGTTTTTCCTCTTTCCTTTAAAATGATATCAGCTAGGTTTAGGTAGATAAAACAGAAATCTTGATTGTAGCTATTGAAATTTGAATTCTTGTATTCAAAGATTTTCACCCACTTTCATAGTTGGAGCTACCATTATGACTTTGGGTTCACGTTAGCCCTCTCGTGTCAATTTATATGATATATTTTCATTTTAATCAATACAAAAAAAAGAATGAGACATTTTCTTTAAGTGACAAATATTTAATAACACTATCAATATTTTACTCAGATCTTACTTATTTAGTAAAAAAGTCACCAAAGGTCCTACTTGAAGTGTGTTTTGGAACATATCAAAGTCTATGCATATTTCTTAAACTAGTTTATGCGGTCTAATCAGTTAAACTACACATTACATAAATTAGCGATCAAAGGAGTAATTTCTATTCGAACCTCATATAATTTAAAATTTTGCAAGAACTATAAATTTCAAATTTTGAATTAGTTTATGCCTTCTTTATTAGTGTTGTCGTCAACATTGACCCAGTCTTATTTAGACCTTAAAATTGTTCTTTTTTGTAGTTAATTGACTAAAGAGTTGTCGTATTGTTGGGGAGGTTGGTTTTTATACATGTTCTTCCAACAATGGAGTAACACAATGGATCATAGAAAACAGTCAACCTTAAATTGCATCAGCCTTTTCAAGGTGTCACAGCTCAACTTTCTTAGAAAAGAATAATATAGCCATTGTAAAACCTTGAAGTTGTGGAATTAACTTTCTGTGTATTTCAGATTAATTTTAAGAAATTATTATTAGCTCACATCAACACAATATTCGCTTCGGCAAATCTTGAACAGATAAAAGAAATTAACTACTGTACCTTTTTTTTTTTGTTTCCACAGTAATCTATCCTTGTCAATTTTTAGGAATTGTGACAATCTGAAAAATCCCACATGCTCCCTCACGCCTATTTATGGGGTGTGGGTCTTGCTGGTTATCACGCTATATGTTTATTGACATTAGTTGTGGCAGTTAAATATAGACAAAAATATTATTCCCTCGATACATTTAAATGAATTATTATTTTGATCCATTCACATAATTAAGAAAATATAATTATCTTTTTCTAAATTTGTCCATATTTAGATAAGTAAACCTTTTTGTAATCAATAGTACTCTCCTGTTTGATTTGGCACATTCATTAGAAAAATAATTATTTATATAAATATTGTGTCAAAAGTGATAAGTAAAAATAAAATTTTACTTTAAAAATAATTGAAAAGTAAAAATGATCTGAAAAAATACTATTTAATTCAAAAGTAGGAATGGGAATAGATTTATCACTTGACGGATATAAATAAATAAAAAAAGGTGATGAATTATGTGCCGGCGAAATTTAACAAGTGTATTAAATAGTTGCATAATGTAAACAAATTAATGACGGCACTATTTTATTAACAATAAATTAAGGTTATCATTCTGGAGGGCTTATTTGGCAGTTGAGAATTTATAGAAAGGTAGAGGAACAGCTTTAGTAGTTGGAGTTCTGTCAAGGTTTTAGAAAGTGTTTTTGGGAGGGAAGTAAAAACTAATTCAGCTTATAAAAGTAAATTTGTACTACTACTCAAAAGTATCTATTTTTCTTTAAAATTTGATCTAACAGATTGCTTTTTAAAATAACATTTTTGACTACTACCCTATTTAACACCACGTATAGTGACCGCAATCTAAAAAAATGTAGAGGTCAAGATCAGACGTTATGCAATTCTTTTGTTTACATCTCTAACTAATCATCGGAGTTAAATGTAAACCCAAAATTTGAAGATGATGAGTGCACGGTTAAAAATAAATATACGTTAGTTAAAGCATGTCACCCAATATCGATTCTTGTGATAATTTTACTAAATATAGAAATATAAAACTAATGTACTAAAATATAAATATGAATTAAATGATTCTTCCACATAAAGATTGTTTTGTACTATAAAGTCGCAAGTTCGACACTAGTTAGCCCCTAATTTCATTCAATATTTTTAAGGTTCAAATAAAATAGACAAAAGAACCGAACCCCTTACATCGGAAAGTTGCTTGCACATGATCATGTGGGTCCGCCTTGGAGCAGAGGCGAATACACACATGGATCGACAAATAGAGAAAAGACATGTTTGATTCTAATGAACAATTTATTCGTAGGTGGTTAATTTAAGAAATTGATTGTTTACAGTTGATCTCCTCTTGGTAGCTAGCAAAACTGCTGCAATCAAAGCTCATCTTGTGGTTTGTTTACAGCAAATCCATTCTCCACCCAAGCCAGATACCCACCTCCCATGTTGCTGACATGCTTGAATTCCTGCCAATTTGATCATCTCATATATATTGTTTATATTACCAAATCACATAATTGTATAACGAGATAGAAAAAAGAGAGACAATTCAACTTACAGCATTAAGAAGATCAGTAGTAGCATACAGGGACCTCACACCGCTCTGACATCCCTTCACAACACAAAGACAAATTACATAGCATTTATCAAGAAGAAGTCAAATTCTACATCGACTCGTTACGTTGTTTAGTTTCCGAGGAAATTAAAATAAACAATCCCGAAAAGATGTATTACCACAAGTAGCTTTTCTTCCTTGTCGCATGCTGAAGATACCTGTTCTATAAATTTTGGATTCTTCACCCTACCTAAAATCACCAAACATCATTTATTACGTAATTAATTAACACGGGAAATTAAGATAAAAAAAGAAGAAGAAGAAGAAGAAGAAGAAGAGACCTCGGGGAGTATTAAACATATAGGGAATATTCAAAGAGTTGTCTACATGCCCTTTCTTAAATTCTTCTTCTGTCCTGTTCAATATGAATGAAAATCAGATCAGATCAGATTTCATATTGAAGAAAAAATAATCTAAAATTTGTGTTATATTTTTACCTAACATCAAGATAACGGTGTCCAGATTGGATGAGTTGACGAGCTGCATGAACATCTACAGTAACAACCTCTGCTCCTGAGCTACAAAACAGAAGAAGCAGAACAACAAAAAGAAGAGAAATATTACCATTACCCATAATTAATTGAACAACCTAGAACTATGTTTGTTTGTCTATGAAGTAACAAATTGTGAGTGTAAAGAATTTTGTTCTACTGTACCCGAGTTGACTTGTTGCCATGACAATAAATGGAAGTTGTACTTTTATAGAAGATTTTTTTCAAAGTGAAACTTTGACTTGAGTAAATGCTGCTGCTGGATCAGAGGAGATCTATTGGCGTTTTCGATTGTTTTGAGAATGAAAATTAATTGACATCTGGAACAGAAAAGCCAGTGGATTTTGATTTTTGTGTGATGAAGATGTTTTCTTTTTGTGCAGTCTGTTGTTTACGGCACTATGTTTCGTGCGTGTAGGCTGCTGACGTCGTGGCACAAAAAATAATATGAGCAAATGGGCCATTTTGTAGACCCCAGCAAAGTCTTCCACGTTGGTTTTGACAATGACACAAAATCGATATTCTCCCAATTTTGTGTTTTTGGTAAGACGGAAACATATCTTTTTATTAAACAAGTCGTCTTTTAAGGTGTTCAGTAGGAAGGAAAATGGTTTTTTCACGGAAAATAAGTAGTTTTTATTTTTTATTTTTCTTGTGTCTAAGCAAAAAAATAAGGTGGGTTAGAGTGTGAAGAAGATACTGTCAACCGTGGAATATCAAAATAAACCAATCAAATATGAAAGAAAATTGGAAAAATAAATATTCCATTAATATTTTCAGAATTCTTTCGAAAAATTCCATTAACAGTGATGAAAGAAACTCAATAAAAAGTTGCATTTTAACTAAAATAGGCAATCCCTCCATCTCTTAAAATAGAGAGATGACTTTAATTTGTCAAATTTAAAACTAAATTTATAGTCGACCTAATCTATAAAACAAGCTTTATGTAGTGCATTCTGACTAGAATGACAAATTTATGTGTTTTAATATATGTTATTTTTTCGTATTTCTTCCGTTTATAGTAAAATTTAGTGGATGCTTTTTCTTCTCTCTAAATTAAGTGGAAGACAAGTTGGATAAAGCTTATGGTGAATCTATTATATTTGGATAGTTTGAACAGAACAGAAGTGGGCTGTAAGCCTGTTTCAGTGGGCTTTCGACTGATTTGCACAAAATGTTCATTTTCATGTTGTCAATTAGATTTTGTCCCAAATTATTCAAATATAGTCTTGAAAAATTACTCTTTCAAACAAGTTAAATTTGGGTTATATTTTAAATTTTGTTATGAAAAAAATAAATGAAGAGTTGACTAAAAGAAAATGCATTAAATCATAATAACGGAGCCTCTATATATCCTGGAACAGTTTCAATTATGATGTCACGAGTTTAAAGTCATAAATTTTAGAATTACTCCTAAATCCTACTCCCTGCATTCCATATTAATTGAATTGTTGAGATATTTTTTATTTTTCAAATTAACCTAATTGTTCAGTTTTCAAGACTATATTTAGAGTGTTCTTTCAATTTTTACCCTTCATTAGTTAGTATTGGAATTAGTGATTAATTAATATTTAGTTATTTTAATCATAAATTTGATAATAATTAATAAGGATAAAAATGAAAAACTATGTTTAATTTATGTCTTAATCTACTTTTCTTAAAGGGTGTGAAACACCTCAAAAATTTAATTAATATAAAATGGAGGGAGTAATATAGTATCACAATTTGTGTTAGTGTTAATTAGTGATGTAGTTATGTAGAAGTGTTGGTGTGGAAAATGAGACAAGTGTTTTAAGTACTTATACAGCTTTGATTAAACGAAGTAATCAATAAGGATTGTAACTCAAGATTTTTATGCCAATTTAGGGGGGAAATTCAGCAATGAATGATGCTGAGTCGGAAATTTCAGCTCCACTGAGTAAGCATTCCTCCACTCCATTTCCTTTTTTCAGTAGAGAAATGGTTTAATGGACTCTTATACTATGAGTTTGTATTCTAAATTTTTTAATTTAACACTTTATCAATAGAATTTTTAAACTCAATTAAAATGAGATTTTTAAATCCTTTCAATTATGTGTGTATCTTACTCTCCCTTAAATTAATGACATGTCATTTTCATGTCACATATATTAACGTCATGTCATTATTATTTTCATAATTATTTTAATTATTAACCAAATAAGTTAAAATTACAGAAAAAATAGTACTCCCTCCGTCCCATTTTATGTGGCAACATTTGACCGGGCACGGAGTTTAAGAAATAAATGAAGACTTTGAAATGTTTACCAAATTGCCCTTTTAAAAAGTAGACTCAATTTCTCTCTCCTCATAAATGTATTGGAGTATTATTTTAAGATTAAGTGAGATCAACAAGGATAAAAAAGGAATTGTACCTTTAAATACTTTCCATATAAGAAAATGTGACATTCTTTTTGGGACTGACCAAAAAGGAAATGTTGCCACATAAAATGGGACAGAGGGAGTAATAAGTTTTCTAATTTTTAAAAAATTATTAAAATTGTTATTTCTCTCCCATTTCACCACCTTCCCAAACCCGATGCACCGTTAACCTCAATTCACCATCTATACATTCCATTAAGCTTTAAGTTTTTTCTTCTTCGAGATTCAACTACGAAGCTCTAAAAGTCACAAGGAAAGGATTTTCACATTATTTATTGGTCTACCTATATAATATTACATCTTAATAATTGGCGGTAACTAACTAATTTGAGCTGACTACATTTTTTGGATCTGAGATCTTGTGGTAAATTTTTTGGGGATTCCTCGAAAAAGAAGAGGAAGAAGAGCACACAAAGTAAAAAACAGAGCTCAACGTAGAATTTTTTTTATATTTGCTTTCCTCTCAATTTCTCTTCATCGTTCATCACTCAAACCACCAATCCACCATGGAAAAAAAATTATATTTGCTCTCCTCTCAATTTCTCTTCATCGTTCATCACTCAAATCACCACATAACCACCAATCTACCATGGTAGACCCATAACTATCAGAGCAAAATCACCACAAAAAATGATTATCGTTGTCGACGAATTCTCTTTCTGAAATTTCCATTCACGTGCTAAAACTCACTAAAAACCTAGTCGTAGACAGAAGTTCAATAGACAAGTTAGGCGGAAATATAATGGAAGGAAACTTTCTTTTTTTCTTTTTATTGTGTAATTTTTTTAAAAGCAAATTTTTTGCTTCACTTGCTTTATGAGTGTGATAACACGAATTTTAAGTGATTCAACAAAAGAAATGTCAAGTAAGCTGGTTCAATGGTCAGATGAGTTTAAATTTTTTATTTTATTTAAGTTTAATGATACAATTAACAAAGGATTAAGTAAAATGGTTCAGATATGAGTTCAAGTTACCTTTTACACATTTTGCCTTTTCCAATTACTTTAAGTACTCCCTCTGTGCCATATTATATGTCACATTTTTCATTTGCACTTGTATTAAGAAATAATGTAATTTTACCCTTATGCATTTATTTAATGTTTGCTTATAACAACTTTGTAATAAATGATGAAATGTTAAATTTCAGAAATATAAATACATTTGGATGACTATTTAAATTTTAGAGTTTATTTTTGGAGTCAAATTTTTTCACCAATTGATCCAAAAAAATTAAAAAATCAAGTTTTTCCCATCTCAATTTTCTTATATATTTTGTTTAAAATGTTTTTTTATATTTTTATATATAAATTCTTAAAGCAAACATGACAACATCAAAAATATTCAAATTCCATTACTTCAAATTGATCTAAATTTTCCTTTGACCTTTTTGAAATGTCATCTTTCTAGATAAAATTTGTTGAAACTTCAACTTTCAAGATTATTTTTGAATTTTTTTTCATCTTTTATGTTAAATTTGTTTGTTGATACTTTTTTAACAAAATCAGATTTTATAGAATAAGTAGTTAATTAATGAATGAAGTACTCTCCCAATGAAATTAATTACTTGTAGATTTCCTAGGTTAGTCAAAGTAAATACATTTTCAAGATTAATTAATTAATCTATCAAGGGTATAATGGGCAAAAAATGGTAATTTATGCATAAATTTTGTAAAATGACATATATTGTGGTCCAACTATTTTTAGAAAAGGGCGACATATAATATGGGACGGAGGGAGTATTAATTTGCAGTTCATTGCAACGACGGTACTGCTGCTAAAGATGATAACTCTCTGGTTGAACAAGTGGCACTCACCGTCCCCGTCACCGACGATCCCACCTTCCCGGTGGTCACATTTCGCATGTGGTTTCTCGGCACTACCACTTGCTTCCTCCTCTCATTCCTCAACCAATTCTTCTTTTACCGCCGTCAACCACTCTCCGTCTCCTCGATCTCCGCCCAAATTGTGGTAGTTCCGTTAGGCCACCTCATGGCCAGGTGCATCACGGACCGAGTTTTCTTCAAATGAAGTAAGTGGGAGTTCACACTGAATCCAGGCCCATTCAATGTGAAAGATCACATGCTTATCACGATCTTCGCTAACTCCGGCGCTGGGAACCCCTTCGCGATTCACATGGTTAGTGTCGTGAACTGTTTTACAAGCAGAAGTTGAATTTTTGGGTGGCGTTGATCGTCATTATTACGACGCAAATGTTGGGGTTTGGCTGGGTTGGGATTTTCCGACGGTATTTGATGAAGCCGGCAGCTATGTGGTGACCACAAAATCTCGTTCAGGTTTCTCTATTCAGGTATGGCCAATGTTAGTTAGACCAAAATGATAGAGATCCTACGAATTGAATTTTAAATTTTAATTCATGTATTATTAGAATATACATTCTTATGGTACAGTCTATTCAACATAAAATAGTATATACATAATACTTCCATGCTTAATTATACATGTTTTATGGTATTAAACCTATTGGATTTTGGATTGTGATATCATACATTAATATTTGTTGAAATTTTAGTAATTTTTATATAGACGTATATAATCATGTTGAAAATGGTTGAACCCGATGGGGACATGCTACATTGGTTTAATTTGATTTTTTCTTAAAACTCCTACATGCCAGTTGTCATCACTGCTTTAAAATTTTTCCTTCCAATGACAGGGCCCTTCA